TTTTTTTTTTTTTTAATCTCGTTCCATGCGAACTTCGTCACATCTGAATTCTTCTTCATTATAATATTACCGGGCTGTGAGTTTTTATGCATACTCTTGGCCAGATAATTTAAAAAGCAAGACCTCTAATTACTTAGAGATTTGATTCGTGCTGTATTCTGAGTATTTTACATATTCTTTTTTGTATGGTGTATGCATTTTATATATGTATTTTGTACCTTCAAACTTTTCTATAAACATAGAAAAGCTTCTATTTTTTGCACAGTTATTGAAATTACTAAGAAATGTGGATCTTTTCTGTAGATTTTTATGGGAAACGTTCGAAAGTAAATAAAACTGCATAGAATATTCAACAAAATATTTTATTAGAAAAATCACAGGTTTCTTTTCTATAAATAAATTATAGAAAAATACCATTACACAATACGCTACAGTACATTATAAGTAATCAATAAATATTTATTGATACCAATATTGATATCCAATTTTACTGATTTAAGAAATAATTGCGTAACCTTAATTTAATTCTCTGTGCAAGATTTATAGATTTATCTTTAATTTTATTCAATCCCATCTATTTGCATGACACTCAAGAAAAAAATATTTTTCTCACGTATCAGAGACGCACCCAAAAATCAATGCTTCGTATATATTATGCAAATTCAAAAAGGAGAAGACATTTGTAACAAGTTATGTGTCTTAACTGTATCTTATTATATGCAAAACTCTTATTATACATACCGGCGCGTCATACCGGTACCGTTGAACCACTTATTATTTTCTACTAATAACACGCCGTCGATTCGAGATAGAGATAAGACAGCTCGATGCGTCTGTCGGAGTCTGGTTTTTCCACTTTCGACTAAATTACGATATATTTAATCGTTGTTTGCCACTTATCTGCGATCTGAAATGCGTGGTAGGAACGTGAGGTAGAGATTTTTTTTTTACGGTGCCATCGACAAGAATTCACTTTTAACGATACCTCCTTTTCTCAGAAATAATTGTTGAATAACGTCACATTTACGAGCGAATGGGAGGGGGAGGGAAAGGTTTTTTTGAACATACTTTGAATGGCAATTCGCGCTTTTTATTGACACAAGGTGTGTATTGAGAATCATCGAGGAAATATGAAATTTTCAATTTTGCTGCTAATAATTGAGATCTCAACTATTATCATGGAGTTATAATAAATGTAGGAAATAGATATTTCGATTTGCCAAGTTGAGAATTGAAATCTATTTCGAAGACGGTGCCATTATTCAGGCTAAGCTGCTGAATTAGGATTGGACACGTTACTTACATTTACACTGCAAACGTAATATCATTCAATACTAGATTGAAACGCAGTGCATCAATGCACATGCTGTCGTCCTGATTTCAGCAGAATGTTAGCTTCATTAATTTAATCGCGGTTCGACAGAAAACCGTTACTGATAATTATTCCAGCAACGTTCGGCCGCCATCCACGCCGCCAAACAAAAGGTATGTTACCAGTTCGAAGTTCGAATTATACAATATCCAACACACGTTATATTTCTCAGTTAGTTATATCATAGAAGAAAGAATAATTGCGTTCTGTTGGAAACAAACGACGATATAAATTTAATTTTTATTCGAGCGCTTAACAACTTACAATCAGTCAACGAAGCTCGTCTAGAATTAATCATTGCAACATTAAACTTTTAATACTCAATTTCTTTTTTTACCACTATTAAATAATTAAATAAATCTAATATCGCAGCTTTATTAATAATGATAAATTATGTACAGGATAGAAAAAAGTATAAAAATTTCTAACCTAGAAACGTGAAATCACAATTGTTGACGACGATTCCTTCATATATATTAAGTAATTTTCCACTGATGAAAAGATATGCTTGAATTAAAAATAATCCAAAAGATGTGCCACAGTTAATCGTGAAATTTTGAAATATTCTTATATTTTATACCAATTAGTAAGACACGCGAAATTAATAGATAATTTCGTGAAAGTATTGCTATAAAATATTGCTCTCTATTCAATTATTTTGTACAGCTACAGTTTCCGATGATCGATCAATTTTCTTTAACTTGTACATATACATCCTTCTTTCATATTCGTATTAATCCAGTTCAGGTACCTAGTTACTCTGGTGTACACTCCAGGATATCCCGGTCTTCCGCAACCAACACCCCAGGACACTATTCCTGATGAACAAAGTCAAAATCACCAAAAATAATACTAGTAAGTAGACATTTTTCAGGCTCTGGGCAAGTAACAAATGTCTCTTATATCTAAAATTATATTCATCTTCATTTGATTAAAACAGAAAAAAAGAGTCATTCAATTAAAATGGTAAACTATTTACTTAAAAGTATCAATTTACTATTTGTTTATTCAGTTTTATTGCAGCTGCAGCAGAAAAAAGCAAAAAAATATGGAAACAAAAAGTTGTGTAATTAATAATTTTTTAAATACTTGGTACTTTCGAACGTGTTGTGAGGTAAACAGGATGCTGCGTTAATTTCTTACCAACTATTTCGAGTTTGTCGCCTTCCTGCACGAGCAGAGGTCCGCCACTATCGCCTTGGCAAGAATCCTGACTGCCTCGACCGGCACAAATCATGTTCTCCGTGATTCGATTCGCTCGATACTTCATTTTACGACACTGTATCAAACTTAATATCGGCACTTGGACCTCATGCACTTGCCCAGCAAGCATTCCTCCTTCCGACGTACGACCCCAGCCTACCACGGTGCCTTCTTTACCAGCGGGATCACTACCTGGAATTATTTTCATAAATTTAAAACAAAAAAATAAATAAATAAATAAAATAAGGAAGATTCAAATCATCAATTTATAATTTTTACTAGATAATTTTATAGATGTAAGGCAATGTACTTTTAGAGATTTAAACGATTATTCGTAAAACGTATAAATAAAAGCTTCTGTATTCTATTCTTTTTGCTTTAATACTTCTGATGGACATTTTCTGTTTAATCGTCGATAGTTCTACGTCAATAGTCAAGGACCGATTGATTAATTTTATCTAAACTGTCCAATGTATTTCTTGAATTTGTTGCCCTAAGTTACTTCTAAATTCTCGTTTAATTATTCTAGTTGATTTTTTTAGAAATTGGTTTGTATAAAAAGTTGACAAAGGCTTCATACTCGATGAAAATGTGCAGCACCGCGCCTCCGCAAAGTCACAAAAGTGTTAAAATTCTGCATTAATACAGAATTACATTAATACAGAATCTGCATTAATACATAAAATTCAGAACTGGCAGTGCAGAATATTTAATTTAAATTACTTACGAGTTCATTTCATCAAGTTATCACTAAATTTTATGAAATATAAAGACATATACAAAATATGAAATTTTTGTTTCTTTTATCTGAGCATTTAATATTGGCAGTAATTTTAACAATAAGAATTGAATGCTTTATCACCACTACCTTTTTGAGGTAGACATATTGGTCTCACAGTTTTGGAAAACTTCACAGACTTTCGAAGTTTCAACAGAGCAACGTCGTGGTTGTACGAATTCATGTCGAAGTTTCTGTGACGAATTACAGCGCTCACAGCTCTCATTATGGCTTTTCCGTCGGTGTTCACGTGTTGATCATAATCACCGAGTATCACGCGGATCTTCGATCGTTTTAACCTGAAACAAACGAGTAAAATTGTAAGTGGAAATATACCTGAAATATTCCAGAAAGTTGTTTTTATTAACCGGAGATTGAAATATTGGAAATCTATTGATAAAACATTAGAGAGAAGATATTATTTCTTTCTCTCTGTAGAAGCGAACAGATTGAAACTTTGTACGTTTATTTTTGAAACTCTGGAATCCTCAAACAATGAAATAATTGTTTTCCCGTTAGTTTGAACAAATTGGTATAACGATGTGACTCGTAAAAGAGACTTTTAATCCACCATTCTTGTTCGTTATTTTATATTACAAAAAAATATTGTAACTAATTTTTAGTTACTTAATCATATAAATATAGATTTATAACGACACACAATTAGAAAGTAAACAGTGACACTTGAATTAAATATAGACACATCTCTCAGTACGTAAAATTTTTCCATGCAATAATAAAACATTTTTGAGAGCCATTGTGACGAAAAGGATTTTAATGAAAAGAAAAACAGAATAAAACTTACCTACTTATAACATAATCACTTCTTATAAATATCACCAATTTACTCATATCTATGAATATCATACTGTGTAATAAAACTATTCCAGATAATTAAAAAATTAAAGCAGCGAAAAATAAGCAAATTGTATACATTTATACTAATACTTACGTATAACCACCACTCTACATACACTGTCTTTTATTATTATTTCGATAAAATATTATCGCAAGCCTACACAAAATAATACAAAAAAGCCGCGGGAAGTATTCAATTTGTGTTAAATATAGACACACAAAGACTTCTGCGTAACAATTCTTTCGAGTGCCAATGCGATGAATGAAATTTTCACGAAAAAGAGGAAAACCGACGAACTAACTAAAAACTCGCACGTAAATGGAAAAATTCCGGATAAAGAACTTACCTACGTACACAGTGAGCAGCAGTGATAACGTAATCATTGTTAACGAGGCTGGCTCCACAGTGGAAGCGACCCTCGTACACGAGTCTGGCCACCCACGGATATTTGTTCGGGGTTGTTGGTCGTCCACCGACGATTCGGTCCTCCTGATTGGATATACCGCATTCTGAAAGGCAATTCATCGTTTCATTATTACTCGTTACGTGGACAGAAGCCGGAAATAGCGAGGAACGCTTTCTACTGTGTATAGACTGTTACATCGGTTAGCCTATCACGCGATCATATGTACTGGCTGACGTTATTACACTGGCCGTGGTCAAGTGTGAATTCCGTCACGTGACGTAATAAGTTTGCAAAGTGGCATGGGGGAAAGTGATTTTTTTCGATTGCACTTTCGTTCCACGCTGGAGGAGAAAGAGACGCGGGACACTGCAGAAACTAGTTCAAGGGAAGTAGATCTCTTCCTCTATTTCCCTGTTTCTTTTTTCTTTCTTTTTTTTTTTTTGTTGCTAGTGGAGATTCAGTTGCCGGTGAAATTGTTTCCAGGTATATTTTATATCCTCTGGTGAATGGATTTGAGGTTTTAGTATCGTTATTTTTATTGCAAGAGTATTTTAATACATACGAGTTTTACTCGAGTTACATGTTTTTTAAATTGTAAATAAGATAAATAAATATATGTAAATAAGATAAAGTTGTTTTTTTAAATTCTTTCCCTCTATTCAGCTCTTTTCTAGCGTGCGTTTTAATTTAAATGATAAAACTCTTTCAACTTCACATTGCAACTAATACTCTTTTTTTCTCTTTTATATTCCTAATTACTAAAATAGTAAACTTAAATTGTATTCTGATGATTCCTGACAAAATTTTTAATAAATCTCGTCACCTCGGAACACAATGCGATTGAAAAAAAATCTTGTCGCGTGTTTTAAAGATAATAGCAATTTATTTTCCAACTTCTTGCTGCGAATCTGTTACCTGATTTGTAATTTATAAATGTCTTAGAGAAGGAAGAAAGTAAAGCACACTCTTACCGCAGGTGCAATTCCTCGACACAGGGTCGTCGTCGTCCAGAGTGCTACTTATGTCAAGGCCGAATAATTCGTCAAACAGGAACTTGCCCTTTCGATTGCGGATCGAATTGGTTATCTGAAAGAAATGTATCGGCCACTCTTCAATCGTGCGCTCACTCTCCATTTCGAATAAGCAAGAAGAATCAGAGAAAGTGACCACGGTCCGAATTATGGGTCAAGGCCTGTCGTCTCGTTAAGTTCGATTCTACACGAACGAGCTAGGAATCTTTTATATACTATCCAATCCAATAAAAGTAATATAACTCAAAGCACTATAAAATCGATCGATAAAATTATAGTTCATCAGCAATGAAGTATTCGAAATTATTCATGAACATGTTGAAGCCAAGCAGGTAATGTCAGAGATAAAATTTACAACGAAACCGGACGATAAATGTAAAAGAAACTTGAATTACATCATTCATAGCAATATCTATTGAAATATTCAAAATTATTCTTGAAAATGTTACGAAGTCTTCGCCTCAACTCAAACGACAAATGTATATAATATGTATATAAGTATGTA